AATCCTTCCCATCATATAAAGAAAGAAGCCCAACAGTACCATGAGTTCCAACAAGAAGGTGGAGGCCATCATCATCAACCTTTCTCATCATATGAAAAAAAAAATCCCACCGTAACCAAGAGAACCAACCAGAAGGCTACCAGTAACAACCCGAGTACAACTTTCATGCAGGCAACGGTAGTTATCAAAACTATCATTAAGGAGCTGAAGATGGTGCCTTAAATGATCTAGATGAGATGGAATATGTTTCGCGAGCTTGAGTTAGTGAATGTGAAGATGAAGAAGAGGAAGGCAATGCCAGTGCAGAAAGCTTCGACCCTCTTGAAGGTGTTGATGATTCAGGCTAAGATGATGAGGAGGTGTCTAGCGACAGTGTGCCTATCCCGTAATACATGAAAATTGGTATGTTGATGCTGACATTGAGTAGGCAGAGGTGCCAATATGGGGTCCAACTACTGGGTTTAAGACGGGCCAGCAATTTGGTTCGACGAAGGAGGTTCGGAACACTATTGACACATAAGCAATGAATAGGGGTTTAGAATGGTAGTTAGATGTTAGAATAATCATGAGGGATGCAAGTCTAGCGTCTGAGCATTAAGAGCAAAAGATTCGGTCGCTTTGTCATCACCCGTGTGGTGAACACTCACACATGTGTGCCATCCATAACATTCCAAGGTCATCGCCAGTTGACTTTGAGGGTTGTTAGCGCGGCTATCAAGCACCTGACTGAGCAACAACCCGATCTAAAGGTGAAAACTATCATCACCCACATTTCAAGTCATTATGGATATCAAATTAACTATAAGAAAGGGTGGCATGGAAAGAAGAAACGTATGACCGCCGTGTTTGGTGACTAAGAAGAATCATATGCATACCTTCCCAGATTGATTTTGGCGTTGGAGAGGTTTAACCTCGACACTATCTTTTCCTCATGCTACCAAGATGAAGAAATTCCTTCATCGAAGCCCGGTAACAAACGCCAGTTCAGACGCGTTTTCTGGTCATTCAAGCCATGTATTGATGGTTTTCTCTTCTGTGTCCCGATCATCCAAGTGAATGGCACGTTCCTTACCGGTAAGTACAAGGGCACTCTCCTTATTGCCAGCATAGCGGATGCGAATATGGGCATCTTTCCTATAGCTCCATCCATTGTTGAGGGAGATAGTATCAAAAGCTGTGATGGTTCTTCCGAAAAATTCACCTCCGCGTCACCAAGAGGACGGGCCTCGTAATCATTTCTGATCGCCACATCAGGATCAGAGTTGGCATCTTAAGCTTGGATCCGGCATGGGGGTGGTTCCACAGGTATTACATACGACACTTCAAGAGCAATTAGAACCATCATTCCAAGCGGAGGAAGCTTGCTAAAAAATCTGTAGTGGACCGGTAAGCTTTCTATTTCGCAGTCAAGTTATGTTTGTCTCTGGTCATTTTACACAAATGTTGACATACGCTTATGTATGTCCATCAGCTATTTCCTATCAAGAGAAGAAATTCATGGAAAATTTGTAAAAGATCTGTGAGCTATGCCCTGAAGGTGTGTAGTGGCTCGGTCAACATGACCTTTCCATGTGGACTTTTAATAAGGACAGAGGTATAAAGTGGGGTGTTGCCACAAAGAACTCAAGTGAGAGTATCAACTCTGTCTACAAGGTTGTTCGTGCATTGCCTATCTTTGCCATTGTTGAGATGACATTCTGGAGTGCGAAAAGGCCCTAGAAATCATGGACATGTACAAACACAAGAGCAGTCGCATAGGGTCATCACCATGAACCGAGATGCTGGCGAGTATACAGTTGAGACCGAGCCTTGGGAGGATGGCAGACGTGGGGTCATCGCCATGAAGTCAAGGTGAACTTAAGGACAAAACAAGGGGAGTGCTCCTACCTGAAGTATTAGGGGAGATGATTGCCTTGTTCTCATGCCATGGTCTTAATCAAGTCTAGGAGCAAAGACCCCTCCACTTCGTGAGTCCTTTCTTCAATATCGACTCACTGAAGAAAGCCTATGGAAAGAGTTTTAGTTTATTGTCTGACGAAACATACCAGCCTGTGTATGAAGGAAAGGTGATCGCCCCACCGTTCGGACCAATGCGTGAACGGGACAACCGACGGTAAAGAGGATTCCCAACGAGATGGATAATCTGGAAGACCACCATGAGGGCAAGGCGTTGTTTCATATGCAAAGTACCAGGTCATGATAAACGAAATTGTACTGGACCAATGGGCCCTCAAAATCAAGGGCCTGACGTTGCAAATCCAAATAATGGAATATAGATTGCTTGATCATTTCTTTTCAGTTGTTTGCTCTATGTTTGGGTTTCTTAAGTAATGTTGTCAGACTTTGTTTGCCATTCAAGTTATTTGTTCAAATTTGTGGGTTTGCACAAGTTATGTTCTTCGACTTTGTTGGTTTGCTCAAGTGTTGTTGATCGACTTAATTACCAAAGGAAACACAAGAACCGTAGGGGGTGATGCGGTTTCCGCGTATGAAATGCAAACCCCAAGGGCGTGCGGCGGTTTTCGCGTTTGAAATGCAAACTAGGCGGGGTTGCCACGGTTTGACCTGGATCGCTGAGGTGGCGCACAGTCAATTTGATGGTGGCGACCCCACACGTTTGTTGATGACGGAAATGAATACAGCAGCACCCCCTGCGGTTCTCGTTTTAACCGCCATGGGGGGATGCAATCCTTGTGAAAGGGTGGCATGAATGGAATTTTTTGGAAAGGTTGATATTTTTGAATTTTTTTTAGTTTTTGGGTGATGTATTGAGAAAATTCCATATTATTGTCACATCACCATTTATGGAAGATTCTTAACAATTTCTCCTATAAATTTTAATGGGTTCTAACTCTTTCGTTTTATGTCGTTAATTAAATTTTTTTCATATATAAATCAAATAAACTGTGATCTTCAAAATGATATCCACTTTGATATATTTTTACAACAAAAAATTGGGACATTTAGTACCAGTCTATACCATGATTAGAGGCGGAGCTAGCTCAGTTGCCGGGGGCCATGACCCTCCCGCAAATTTATAATTAGTGTTGGTATGAGTACTAGTAATGCTTTGCTTAGTAGTCTACCGAAAATTACGTTTTCCAACCACCAAGAGCACACATGTTCAATTCTTGATTATAGCATTTATCATTCTATATTTTACTCTTTGCCTTTTACAAGCAAACTTGCATCATAATTTTACTTTGTTTATTAACTGTATCATTTGATAATTTCCCTAGATTTGATTCTCTTAATAGGGCCCGTTTAGTATTGTTGCTTGTTTTTGTTTTCTGTTGTGTTTTAAGAAATTTGGAAAATCAAGAAAAAAATCGTGTTTAGTTGGGTTTTTATTTTTTGTTGTGAATCAGAGTTGCACATGGGATTCCTGCTGGTTTGGCTCTTGATTTCATTAAAACATACCAGTTTTCGAATCCCCACAAAAGCAAATTTTTTTTATTTTTAACACCACCCCCAAACCCTACTTCAGCCGCCCCCAACCTCTCTAATTTTGTCTCAAACACAGGCGCCGCTCTCCCCTCCAGCCATTATGTCGGCGCCTTCTTCCCACTCCACGCCGGCCACCTCCGCCCTCCCGACCCTCCAACCTCCTGACCCTCCGCCTCCGCGCCTCCCGACCAGCCGCCTCCGCCCTCCGACCCCCCGCCGCCGCGACCTCCCCTCCCCTGCTCAACAGCCGCTGCCGCGACCTCCCCTCCCCTGCTCAACAGCCGTCGCCGGGCCTCCCCTGCTCAACAGCTCAATCCATGTTTCCTTTGTTGTATATTGAGAAATGTTCTTATGATTTTTCGTTACAAAGAACTAAACGCGTTTCTGTTTTTTGTTGTCGATTTTTATGATATGTCATAATTACCAACTAAACATGTTTTTGTTTTCTATTTTTATGTTGTTGTGGTTTCTTTTGTGTTACACAACCATACTACAACCACAACAACAATAAAACTATACTAAACGGGCCAACTAGTTTTATTAGCAAATCGTCATAATTAGTTAACAAATTTATAGTAAATTTTCAATCCCTTCAATGAATTTTTTTTGAAACATGCCATTAATATACCAATTTAACTCATTTTATTAGGTAAAAAAGATAGGTATAATAATTCGAATTTTGGCCACCCGACATCAAAATCCTGGCTTTGCCCCTGACCGTGATGGTAATGCTTAGTACTACATAAAATCATACCGCGTGGTAGTGAAGTGTACCATGGTGGTATGAACATAACAAAGTGTATAATGGTTGAATACATGATAGTAGGAACATACGAACTGTTATTTACCGCATTCATCATTCGGTACCACCAGTTACCACTCCTGTACCAGGGTGGTATAGAGTGGTAGATCGTGTCTTTTTTTTCCAGATTTTCGTTGATCGAATAAATCACGATGAACTCGTTTTATTAGTGCAAAAAAATTCAAAATTCGTGTTAAAAATGAAGGTGGTAAAGAGTGGTGTGAATTTTTCGGACCAAATATATTGAAAAAAATGAAATCCAAATTAGAATAAAGAAAATAAGAGCAGATTAAGAAAACAATGAAAAAACCATTAATTGACATCGCTTGGATCTGGACCTTTATGGGCACACTCAAGTTTAAGGGTCCACATCTAGTTATGCACCTTCAGCCCTATTTAACGCTCTGTTTGTTTTGAGGAGTAAATGGAGGGGGGTGCAAGTTTTTGGGGGTAAATGGGAATCCCAGAAAATATGTACTTGTTTGGATAATTATTAACAGTAGGTAGGGGGTGCATTAAAGGGGTAACTATACTGTTTTACTTAACCCCCCAATTTGGGGCGGAAGGAAGGGAAGCAAAAAATTATTTGCTTTTTTTTTTCTCCTCCCCACTTTTGTTTTCTACGGTTCTTCTTTTCCCTTTTACTTTGTTCTCTTCCATCTCTCTTCCGCCATTCACTGCGAAAGATCTACCCATCCCACCCAAACAAATCATAAACCTAGATTTAGAAGATAGAAATTCTGATTCCACCCACTCCGACTCGTCGGCTTCAATCGGCCGGCGGAGTCCTGTCATCCTCATCTCCGATTGCTGTGTTATACAGGAGTTGGGTCGATCTACTATTCTTGTTGTGGTGTTCTGTTTTTCGGATCGTTGGCCTGCTCGACAAGGGTTCTTCATTCAAACTTTGCTGGACTTGTCCCTGCTCTTTTTGAAGGTGAATGCTTTGTCCATGATTGTCACTTCCCCAATCGCTATTTCTTCCTTTTTTTTTGGTTCGATGAATGCTTATAAATCCCTCTTTGAGTTCCTTCCAATATTTGCACTGTGTCCGTATATAATTTTTTTTAGCTATAACATTTCCCTCTAGTATAATTAGTAGATGACATAATTATTTGCCTTCCGTTTATTTTTTAAGCTTTATCCAATGCATTAGGTTAGCACTAGATGGGTTCTCACTGTTAGGTTAACGTTTGAGGATGGAGGGAGAAGATGAAGGGGCAGGGGCAATCTTAATTTTCATCAGTTTCCATCTTTTATCTGCTTTGGTTTCTTTCTCTGGGGATTAATTGGGCAATGGAAAGTCAGGCTTGGGAAAGAGAGGCTTTTATGGTTGTCAATTGGGAAGAGAGGGAGAGAGGGTAGAGGGAGAAGTAAAGGCCGATGGCAATGGCGTGCAACCTCTGGTATGTGAAAGAAACAGGGGGTTTCAAAATGAAAGTTGATTCTTTGAGTGAGACTCTGTTATGGTGTTCTGTATCTTTCCTTCTTTATTATGTTGATAAAATATGTATGCTTATAATAAGGAGTGTCATTGCAAATGTTTTTTGTTGATTGATCCAATTTTATCATATGTTCGGTTGAAATATGTGTTTATTTATATGTTATAGTTTTCAGTAGTATAATTACTAGATGGGTCATGATTATTTTCATTCCTTTCATTTTAAATATGTGTTTATTTATATGTTATAGTTTTCAGTAGTATAATTAGTAGATGGATCATGATTATTTTCATTCCTTTCATTTTCTAAGCTTTATCTGATGCATTAGGATAGTTAGCATTTGGGTTCTCATTTGCTAGGATAATTAAATATGGGTTGTCATTGCATTCATTTTTGTTACTACCTTTGTTGCCTTCATTTTGGAAGGTTAATGGGTATCGAATTTTGGTGTCATGCTTAGATGGATAATGAACCGCATGCTTTCAATGGAGATGATGTTCCTGTTTTTTGCAATGAGGGTAACTAGGGGTGGTAAACGGTCGGTAACCGGTTAAATCGGTTACCGTTTGACCGGTTACCGGTATACCGGATCTCCTATTGCCGTTGCCGTGTACCGCCACCGAGTTTATTTCGGTACACCATTTACCGAATGGAACGGTTACGGTATTTGCACCGGTTTCCCGTTTAACCGAAAGTGCCTTTGGCTGCGGAAATTTTGTGCTACGGTGCGGCAAGACTGTCCTCTCCTTTTCGATGGGGGTACTATGGTTACTGACAGAAAAACAATTTTGCCGACTGTGTACTGTCTTCCTTTCTTTTTCTTATTTGGGGAATTGGGTCCAAGCGGCCACCTCTCCCTCTCTGACAAGAAAATGGCAAACAAAATTATAAAGGACCCAAACTAGAAAGAAATCACAGAATCACATGGTTCTGCTTCCAACGTGGCAATGTGTCCATCTCTCTTGACAAGAAAATGGCAAAAAGTGAAAAAGATAAAGGACCAGAGCACCAAACAAAGAAATCAAACGAATCATCAATCAAGCTAGGTAAAAGTTACTAGCTATAATTCCAAACGAATCACAATTCACAAATTGACGATGAGACTTAAGACGAACTGGAACTGCTGTTATTGGGTTGTGGGGTCGAGGGAATAAGTTCCGACAGGACGGCGATGGGAACAGGGCAACGGCGAGGCCTTGATGGAATCGAGCTTGGCGGAGAGGATGATGCACCCTGGGCTGTTGGGTCGTGTTTCTTGGATGGAGCTTGCGCCGGCGACGGGGGACGACGAAGATACCGCCGGTTTTGATCGGCGGCGTTAGATTGGCGTGACTCGTCGAGCGGCCGGCAGGGGAGACGAGAGAGAGATGGCTTGATTTACTTTAGTTTTCTAATTTCTAATTACCACTAGGATTAGCCGACTAGGTTAATTGCTTAGGTGCTAGGGCGGCCGACGTTTGGTTGATTGATGGCTTGATGTCTTTTCCAATCGGTATCGGAATACCGGTATGTCGACCGTGTTTTACCGTCCTTATCTCGGTATACCGCAAGCTTAATTTCCATGGCCGAATACCGTTTGGAACGGTTAACGGTTTAACCGGTAACCACGGTTATCGGTACGGTTACCGGTTAAACCGTTAACCGTAATACCGTTTACCAGCCCTAAGGGTAACATTGATCTCCACAATTCGATATTGATTTGAATGATGCAACTGATGGTGATGATACTCCTACTTTCCCACGGCGTCAAGGTAGTGCCTATAGTGGTGAAGATTTGAATGCTTTCACTCGTGAGCCATCACCTTCAACCAACTCACATGCAACTTCTTCCTCACGTGGGCTTAAAAGGAAGACTCCAATGACCACCATAGCTAGTCATCAATTTGAAGATGTGAGTGCTTCTATTGAGAGCATGGTCGAGATGTTGGATGCAGGTAACAAGATTGCTGAAAGATCCACTAAGGAGTTGATTGGTGCTATCGAGAGAGGTAATTCAATTCAAGAACATCAACGAGAACGTATTTATCATGCAAATGAAATTTATGCAGAATTGGAGAGGTTGGACTTGCCTGAAACCTTACTCGATCAAGCTTATAAGTTCTTTGTGGGTAATCGACAGCAGACAAGCATGATGTTTGGTTTGCCAGAAGGGGCACGCTTGCGGTTTGTGATGAGCTTGTCTAACAAACCATCTTTCTGGATGAATGATGACTAGAGTGTTTGTTAGTTATTTTTGCTTATATGTCTAAAAGCCAGGTATTATTATGCTTGTAATTTTGAGTGTTCTGGTCTTACTGATGAACCATGAGCCATGACCTATACATACTGAAATGGTCATTCGTTACTAGGAAAGCAAGCTGTGGCTTTTATGGATGTCATGTATGTACAAATTGTGAACTTTATCTTGTTATTAGGATGCAGTGGGCTGTAAAGTGACTTTATCACTATGTTTGGGAACATGTCTTTATATATGATGCTTATATTATGTAAGAAGTCACATAATTAGTAATTATTTTTAATATAATAACTATTATGATTATTCATAAAGGATTGGTGTTCATGAGATACGTATTATTTTATCACTAGTAAGATACCCGTATAACACGTTTAACATCCGTATTTAATGAATTAAATTGTTCAATTTAATATTATTTATATATTTATTTAATTTTAAAATAATTTTTTTATATATTTATGACTGTTAAACGTAACATATGGTTAGAGACGAAGTAAAATATCCGTACGTATTTTATACACATCTTTCGCGTACCGTATTTTACTACCTATGTATAATATAACATTCATATTATTATATTTACTCTTTATATATAATAATCTAAAACTCTTTCTTACATCATTTTGCACCCTCCTACTTTTTCATCCAAACAACAATTTACCCCTCCATTTGCACCCCCCAGCAATTTGCACCTCAACTTGCACCCTCCTGCAATTTGCACCCCCCTTGTTGCCAAACAGAGCATAAGGAAGGGAGGAAAATTTGAAGGAGAGAACTATTGGGAGGCAAATGTTGTTTCATGAAAAAAAGTGGGGAAAAAAGTAGGAGGGTAAAAATATTGGGAAGTGTGATGACTATGTTATGTTATTGGTTGTATGATAGTAAATCAACCAATTAAAATAGTTTGTCAATACTGTTTTTATTAATTATTTGTTGATGAGAAATATTTTTTCTTACATCAAAATTTTCACTATTAAAAATAATAATCACACAATTTGAAAGTTGCCCTCATTACGAGGCTTAAAATTTAATTCGTTCGGGAAACTATTAAATTTTTAGCAAGGATTGCTAAAGTATATTGTATCACCGGTCGGCGTCGTTTTTCATTTTGGTTTGCGAATCGCGCATCTTCTCCAATTTCCCCTTCACATAATCTTATATTTGGATTTTTAAAGTGAACATTTAAACATTAATATTATATGAGTGTATTTGAATTTTCAGTAGTATATGTTGGATCCAAATACAAAATGTTATTTTTGTATAATGTTATATGTTATTACATATATAAAATTTGAAATAAGTAATAAATGCATGAACAATGTAATGTCTTTTTCATATATCTGAACTAAATTGGACTAAAACAATCAAACAATTAGCCTACTTGTTCAACCGGGCCAACGGAGTAAATCGTATTTACAACCTTGTTTAGCATGCTAATTCTCCTGATCCTATTAGATCGAACGAAATGTAACCCATATCCCAACGACCAACGTAGTCTCTCCCCACTATTTAAAACATGAGTTCAATTCAAACGATGATAACAGGGCTCCAAGCCATGGGAATGAGCCGCTAAAGGAGACACCAAAATATTTATTGGGAGAGTGTTAGTGCCGTAGAGATGGGAGTTCTTGTTTGTATTGAATTTGGATTTAGGTGATGATATAAATTTAAATTGTTTTATGGTCAATAATAATTTCATTCTTAAATTAGTGTAATATACAAGTTTTGTATGTTAACCAACGATTTTTTAACGATTAATCACTGAACCCTAAACCACTAAATTTTCCGGTTCAGCCTCCGTTTCTCTTATGAAATAAGAGGTTGTATCCTCAAATCTTCCTGCCTTTACTGTGTATATCATGGTTGATTTTGCTGTTCGGCACTTATTACTAAACTTATAAGTTATAACTGATTTATTATTTGAATTTCGCAACTCTTTAGATTCATATATTAAGTTAGATTTTGAGCTTTTACATAAGCTTTTATTATTACGTAATAAGCCATATTACTAGAATTTATATTTTGTAATTAAAATGTATAAACGGTGACGCTTATGTTAATTTTTTTTTTGTGTGAAAAGGGACTCTAAGGGTCCAACCTTTAAGCTTATGTTAAAAATTAATCAAAAGTGAAATTATCGTGAAATTATTTTTTTGATCAAATAATTTTCGTGTAAATTTGAACCCCCCTCAAAGTAAATCTGATTAAAAGCGGACCAGAATTACCATTAGAATCCTGTTATTTTCAGTTATTATTATTTACTTTTTGGACTTTGCTACGGTGACATGCATGTCACGGTGACATGCATGTCACGATGACATGCACTTTTCGGTCGACCTCATATAGGATCAGGTCGACCTAATCTGTTGTTTCAGTGTAAAAACAGTTTCATGGTGCCTACTTTGGAGATTCATATCTTACAATTGGCTAGATGGAAATTGGAGATTAAAGGCTTGTTTTGAAGCTGAGTGTCCCTCTACACATTAAAGTACTTGGGAGCTCAATAGAAAGTCCAGAAGAACATTTTGGAGCTCAATTCGAGAAGCATGAATGCGAGTCGAGTCCAGGAGCCTCTACCACGTTAATTTAGGTATGTTTTTATACAAATTCAAGGCATTGGATGAAATATTGAATATCTGTAAGGCTTCAAACAAAAGGGTCGAAGTTACATATATCCAATATTTCATCCAATGCCTTGAATTTGTATAAAAACATACCTAAATTAACGTGGTAGAGGCTCCTGGACTCGACTCGCATTCATGCTTCTCGAATTGAGCTCCAAAACAGGCTTCACAAACACGTTTCCAGACTTAGCCATTTCCAGGCAGTTTCCCAGTTTTGGCATAGCCTTTTGATGAGGTTCAAAAATGGTCTTGTGGACTTCCTATCGAGCTCTCAATCACTTCAATATGTAGAGGGACACTCCAGCTTCAAAACAAGTCATTAGTCTTCAATTTCCATCTAGCCAATTGTATGATATGAATATCCAAAGTAGGCACCATGAACTATTTTTACACTAAAACAACAGATTAGGTCGACCTGATCCTATATGAGGTCGACCGGATCCTATATGAGGTCGACCGAATCCTATATGAGGTTGACCTAATCCTAACTGAGGTCGACCGGAAAGTGCAAGTCACCGTGACATGCATGTCACCGTAGGCACACCCTTACTTTTTTCTCCTTATTTTTTCTATATTCTACTCAAACAGTCCACTGCCAAACTCTATTATGCCCAAATTATCATAGGGAGTACCTAATATATAATACTAAAATGGATTAGATGA